AATATCTGACAATATACAAAGTCTAATTGACCAAAATTTTTTTTTTTTTTAGTATTAAGGTAACCTCTTTGGTCTTAGCTTTTTATAAATACTTATATTAAATATATGTTTTATACAGATGTATCTATATTGAACTATTAAACAAGTATACAACTGGCTATATATATAACTTTTCTGTATTATCTATTTAAGAAGTTCACTTAAGGATTTTCTATCAGTTGCTATACCTAACACCCTGCTTAGATATTTTATTTAAACTCTCTGATCTGACCCTAGTATTAATTTTATCAGGTCACAGATCCAGATCTATTTGCTTTTAACCATAGAACTATAATCCTTAGACTATCTTTATCTTTAAGACAAACCTATTAGAGTGAGCCATATTCTCTTTTATCACTAACCTGATTTGATACTATAGTCAAGACCAACACTTGCAGTCAAAATTACTTATTAAACTGCTATTATCTTTGTAAAGTTTACTCAAATTCTAGTACTCATCTTTTTGATTTTATTATCATTATCTTCTATTAGTCACAACTCAGAACCAACTAACTCCTTAGACTTTTAATCTAAATAGCTCAGTATAGTATACTTATATATTCTTTTTCTCTAGCAATTCTGGCAGCCTAGTTAGTCATATGTTTCATTATGCATTTTTGTCATCTAGTTTATTCAACAGTTCTTATAAAAATGTTTCATAGGCTTTCATTAGTCTAATGGTATTATTAAAAGTTTGTGCTATCTCTTTACTTAAGATTTTCAAGTAGATTTTTGTCTTCTTGGTTTTTAGCTTTTTATGCCTAATGGTCTTATCATGAATTTGCACCAAAGCCTTATATGATACCAGTTTTCACATTCCTCTATATACATGTAATATTACACTTCACATAGATGTTCTAAGCTTCCAATGTTAGATAGGATCTAACTTGGTGTATCTAAGATTACAAATACTCAAAACCTAACTAATTAGCAAAAGACAGTTATTATAACATATTGATAATTTCCAAAATTTATCATCTGTAAAAATTGAACCTTAAACCTGCCACTTGAGAGTTAATAACCTATTCACTTTACTAGTTGCCACACTTTTCTGATTGATCAAATTAATACAATATACAACTTTAACATTATCTTATTTCTACATTATTAATTCAATTTTGCTACATGAATACAAAAAACAAAGCTTTTTTAAAAAAATACTTTACAATGTTAGAAACCTTGAAAATGCACAACATTTATACAAACATATTAATATAGCAACTAACAAAAGATGTGAATAATTACTTATACAACTAACAAAAATAATCAATAGTATATTAAATAGATACAAACAGCCAATACATTTTTATAATATCAAAACTGACTTAAATATCATTACTAATTCCAAACCAATTAAACAGCATATTTTTGATTATTTTAATGAATAGACAGTACATTATTCTTACAATAAACAAATATTAACCAATACTGACAAACAGAATATATACCAAACCAAAAATCAAATCTAAATAGTATAATTCTATACTTGAATATATTAATATAGAAGAAGTTATACAAACTATTTAACAACTTTCAAATAACAAAGCCTACAGACTATTAGAAATTAGTCATAAGATAATTAAGCATATTAGAATAGACATGCTAACAGCATTTTTAGTATTTCTAAACAGATACTTAATTTAACAAAACATTTCAAAATAATAGAAAAAAAGTAGAATATATTTTATATTAAAAAAACTTCAATTTGATAATAATCTTAATAATATAAGATCAGGGATGATAAATGATCTGGTTATTTGCTCAAAACCTAAATAACTTAGTCATTTGTCTAAATGACTTAGGTTATTTGATCATTATGTTATTTAGATTATTTGAATATAAAGTAATTTTATTAATTAAATAGCTAATATAAAAAAATATCAAACATTATAATTTTTTTTGGTGGAGTGTTAAGATGATCTTTTAGGACTTTTATTACAACTTATTGGTAATGTGATTTAATGAACCACTACAAGAGAAAGTACAATTGGCTAAATATGTAACCTTTTTATATTACTTATTTAAGGAATCTGCTTAAAGGTTTTCTACTAATTGCTATACCTAATACTTCTGCTTAGATGTTTTATTTTAAACTTTTTGAATTTGTAACTTGTATTAAGTTACTAGGTCATACTCAGATGCCTAAATTATTGTCTCAACCTTAGAACTAATTTATTCTTAAAATAAACCTTTTAAAGCCTTCTGTATTTATTTTTATAGCTGATCTAGATATCACTATAGCTAAACCAACACTTGCAGTCAGAGTTATATTATTTAACTACTGTGCTCTTGTAGAGTTTATACAGATCACAGCATCTACTTTATAGCATAACTCTAGTATTTTAGTATACCTCTGCCTTTTGTTTAGCCTTTTTACCAAACTTTTAATTTAGATAGCCTATATAGAATTATGACTAGTTTATTAGTATATTAAATTGGCCTGATATTTTTTTTCTCTAATTTATTCAAATGGCCTAGTTGGTAGTACTTCTAATATTCCCAACCCAGAAATTCTTGCCTGTCTGGCTTGGTATCTGTTTCTTTAGACTAGTTTTTATAGTAAGATCATTAAAGATCTAGCTATCTTTCTACTTAGGTTTTTTCAAATAAACTTTTTGTTATCTAATTTCAACAGATTTACATAGCCACAAGAACTTATCTAGTATTTGCACTGCCTGATTTGTCAGTTTGCATTTCTTCATATAACAAGTTATACAAATGCTCTATGACTTGCCAGTTATGCTAATATGATTATTATTACAGATATTCTAATCCAATTATTAGTAACAGTTGTTATAATATAAATATTGTATAAGTAATTATTTAAATTTTTGCTATTAATAGGATTTGAACACTCAATCTACCACTTGGGAGATTGACAACCTAACTACTTTACTAGATCACCACATTTTTGAACATTATAATTTTACTAATTAACAATTATAGTTATATATAAAAGTTAAAATTTTACTAAGTTAATTGATATTTATATCTTAAGTAAAGTTGTTTAGAAACACAAATTATATATATTTTAAAATTTTTATTTAATTTTAACAATTTTTTATTAATACATTTTGGTGTTTTATATTTATATAAAAAAAATTTAAAGGATGTGGCAATCTAGTAAAGTGGTCAGGTTGTCAACCTCTCAAGTAGTAGATTGGATGTTTAAATTTCATCGACAGCAAAAATTTAGATAATCACCTATGTAATATTCATATTATGGCAACTGTTACTAATGATTGGATTAGAATACTTGTAATGGTGGTCATACCAGCATAACTGGCAGGTCATAAAGCATCTGTGTTTATATGGCATTATACAGAGAAATGCAAACTAACAAATTAGGTAGTGCAAACACTAAATAAGTCCTTGTGGCCATGTAAATTCATTGAAATTGGGTAACAAGAAGTTCATTTAGAAAGACCTGAGTAGAGAGGTAGCTGGATCTTCAATGACTCTACTGTAAAGGCTAGCTTGGAAAAACAGATACCAAGGTTATAGTACCCAGTTATAGTAGCTGAACAGGCAATAACCTCTAGGTTAAGAGTCTCAAGAGTACTACCAATTAGGCCACTAAAATGAACCAGAGAAAAAAGATATCAGGCCAACCTGATATATCAATAAACTGGTCATAGTCCTATACAGGCTATCTAAATTGGAAATTTGGTAAAAAAGCAGATAAAAAAGCAAAAGTATACTAAAGTACTAATGTTATGCTATGAAGTAGATGCTAAGATCTAAGTGAACTCTACAAAGACATAGTAGTTTAATAGTTAGTCCTAACTGCAAATGTTGGTTTTGCTATAGTAATATCTAGGTCAGCTATAAAAATAGGTACAAAAGGCTCTAGAAAGTTTATCTTGAGAATAAATTAGTCCTAAGGTTGAGATAATGATCTGGGCATCTGAATATGACTCAGTAATATTAATACAAGTTACAGGTTTAGAGAGTTTAAAGTAGAACATCCAAGCAGAGGTGTTAGATATGGCAATTAGTAGAAAACCTTCGGGCAGACTCTTTAAATAGGTAATATAGAAAAGTTACACATATAGCCAATTGTATACTTTCCTGTAGTAGTTCATTAAACTACAATACTGATAAGTGATTAATAAAAGTCAAAAGACCAAAGAGGTCATCTTAATACCAAAAAAAAAAATTTTAAATTTTTTTATATAAATATAAAATATAAAAATATCTTAATAAAAATTCTTATAATTAGATAAAATTTTTAGAATATATATAATTTATTTTTTTAAACAACTTTACTTAAGATATAAATTTCAATTAACTTAATAAAATATTAACTTTTATATATAATTATAATTATTAATTTTATTTTATTTTTGTAAAATAATTAATTTTAAATAGTTAAAAGGTATTAGATTATTAATCAACAATGTCAAATAACCTTTTAAGATTATTTGAGTTTTGAAATAACAAATGACTAATTATTTATTATTTGAGTTATTTAGATTATTTCAAGTTATTTACTATCTTTGCATCAGACACATTATCTTAGATAAACATTTCAAAAAAGTTTATTCAAAAATTCTTACTAATTACCTAAACAAAATTTTTACAACTTATCTTATTTTAAATCTATATAACTATATTGCACTTTTAGGCAACTTAACTAACAATCTTATATATATACTTAAGTAATAATTCGCATGTGATCGGCAGTATTTTAATTGGAAATCTGGGGTAAAATACAGCAAATCAATTATAATTTTAAACCAAATCCCTGTTAAGTATAAAAAGGAAAGTACTTAAAAATTATTTAAAATCAATATAATATTTACATGGTACGATGCAAAAAGAGTTATTTGGTTGAACAAGCACAATAAAACGCATTATTAATTTGTACATTTTCAACTTTATTTTGAGGCAGCTACAGATTTCCCGCCTTATGAATGAACGATTTATAAAATCACCGATTTATACTTGTAATAAAATCATTAGGAAGGTTTGAAATTTTCTGTTTCATCTAAAGCCCGCAAGGCCATAGCTTCCTTCCAATGATGTGAAAACCCACTAATCCAATTTTTTATTGTAGTTTCGTTCGGGATTTCATCTTTTTCAATCTCTCCAGCTTGTGCACGATGTATTAGCTCCTCTCTCATTTGTTGTGCTGTTAATTTTTGTGATAGGTTAGCGGTACCTGTATGAAACATAATTTCTAATAACTTTTTGATATGAGTAGTCATTCTTATTACATGTTGACGCTTGGTTTTTCTTTCATTTTCTTTCAAAGCCCAACCACTAGTAAAACTGTTACTAAAAAATTCAAATATTTATAATTCGAACGTTTATAAATCAAACACAAATTTGAAATTAGGTAAGCTTAAATTATAATACCTTTTAATTTCGCAAGCTTTATTAGTTTTCGTCGGAATTGTCAAATCTATGATTTCAGAGTACTAAAAAAATTTTTTTATTGATCTATTATTAGTTATATTTACAATGTAGTATTTAGATTTTATATACGTATTCATTTTTGTTATATGAAATTTTTGAAACTTTTATTTGTTGTAAATTACACGAAGGATCAATTATTTTTAATAAAGTATATAAAATTTATTGTAAAAATAAAATATCCTTTATTTTGTACTATACGAAAAGAAAGAAATATTAATTTTTTATATATAAAAATTGATTATTTTTATATATCAAAAATAATAAATTCTTTCTTTTTACTGTAAATAGCATGATTATACCTTGGTATTGGATAATTGGCATTGTCTAGGATTTATGAGGTTGTGTATGATTTGTTGAGTTAGGATTAGGTTTTTCAATTTTTTGAGATTTTATAATATTGTTTAGATTTGCAAAAGACCATTCCTTCCAATTTCCTATTTCTGGTAGTGCTCTTGCAGCAATAAATTCAATTTTTTCACTATTTGTAGGCCATGTCCATTCTTGAAAATTCGAG